TGCTACACTAGATTGCATTAAAATTATCTTGCTTTTGTCCACACAAATATATTATATATCTATTTCATTTTAAGTAAGAATGTATACTAGTTCAATGAAATCACAACCTGATATTGTTTAAATAGTATTATAATCTTAGATTTGAAACACATTTTCTTGTATCTCTATATATTTCTAATTGGATAAAAAATGTATAAGCGAGTTTGATACTTAATTAAAGTTCTTCGAGTTAATAATCCTTAATTAATACAATATCTCTCACATAAAATCAATAAAAACTTAATTTCTTCGTTATTCATGATATATTGTTTAAATAGTATCAGAATGTTATGTTTGATACATATTGCTTTGTTTACAGTTTACATATACTTATTTAGATAAAATAATCTATAAGCTTGATATTAAATTAAGGTAATCAGAATATTATTAACATGTTCATATCCAGAATCTACGAAAATCGTCAACTGCCTCGATTCATGATTGCTGCGAGGTGGACACTTGTTGCACTGCACGATCCTAACCTATATCTGTCCCAGTCATTACGCACGAAACAGCACGAAAATAACAAGTTGATTGCGTTGTACAAAAATACGAGATCGATGAATCTGTCCACGTTCGCGACGTCGCGAATACAAACTTACCAAATCGTGCATTCCAAGGATTTCTGTAAACCGTGTATCGCCTCGCAGATCCGATCGATGTCACTCGGCCAGTTTCGATTTGCCATTGTTTCACTCACAATACTCGATCGATACTCATAGACGATATGTTAACACACGATCAGCTTCCAAAACTATACAGTTCTCGAATAATTTTCGAGATATCCTCATAAGGATATACTTCTGAAGTGCTCTAAACTCTTCCCGTTCACTTCTGTTTCGAACTAATAAAGCCAACTTGACAATGCGCGGGAACGACGAGACACCACTAGACGCCGTCACCGGCGCTATCGCCACCGCCGTCGGTCGTTACGTCATCGATAAACGCACTGACTGCCGAATCGAAGTATCGTGAACTACTGATTCATGACTAAAGCCAGTATTCACAGTCGATTCTTATTTTAAGACTGTCTTAAGTAATGTCCTCAGTCGCTATTGCGGCCCTCTGATTCGTTCATAACACATTCACATCTTAAGACTATACTTAAGACGGTCTTAAATATAAGCTCTGATTATGAATACCGGCCTTAAGATCGATTCTTCATAGATGGTGCTTGTGGGGCTTGGATCACTATTCATAGGGTATAAGCTGCGTTCCATAAAGCGCACGATGAACATAAGTCTGATTATTTGTTAATTAACTTTCGTTAATTAACTTTCTTCTGCGACGATTTCCTTACTTCCTCCAATTTATTATTGATCGTATCTATTCAACGCATGGAGCTGGGATTTATCTGGCAGCCATCAATCATGACATAACAGGTTTGTTTGCGTCGTATGCTCGAGATGCTCCAATATGTTCCTGTTATAGCTCCTACTCACTTCAACGAGCGCGTTGGAGAGAGTAAATAATTGCGTTCAGCAGAGAAAGCAACTTTGCAATTGTTATCAAATTCTTCATTATGATTGATTTATACGTTTAGATATATAAGGAATCAAAAGCAAGAATCAATCGTATTGAAGAATTGTACAACAGTTGCAAAGCTGCTTTCTCTGTTGAATGCAGCCAATGTTATGGTAGAATCATTTTAGAGCATGTTGGAGCATGAGACGCGAACAAAGAACAAATGTTTCATTGCGCATAATGGCGAATTTAATTTTAGCAAATTTCTTATTAATGTTGAATTTCTAATAACAGTTCTATATGGGCTTATAACATTTTGAATTAATTTCCGATTAGTCATCGACTGTATGTTTTAAGAGCGATCAAACACCTTATTCTATTCATGCATTTAATAATAACAATAGAAGAAATTGGTTAATTCTTGTTATTATTAGTCTTATATCTTGATAATGTAAAATTGTATTTTTCCATCTATAATTAATCACAAATTGGTGATTTTATAGTGAATAATTTTTAAAGTTGCCACTACCAAAATATTAGTTTAGTGATTAATCACAGCTAGATTAATCACAACTAGAAAAAAATAATATTATTTACATTATTATCAAGTTAAGTGAGATTAAATCTAAACTACAAGTTAATCTGAATAATGAAAAATTGGGCTATAATCGTATTATTTTATCCTTATAATGTTTTTTACTGAATGTCAAAAACAAGAATAAAATAATATATATTTGTTCCTATTGTTTGTCAATTATCCTGGTGCTTTTCAATTGTGTCTCGCTGGCTGACACTCATGGAATCATTTCATCCTTATTGTTTATCAAATGAGGACAAATGATGCTCACAAGCATTGTGAACGCCAAATGAGACGCAGTCATAGTTCGATTTAATATTTACAACAATATTAAAAGCTCGATTTTATCGATACGAATGCAAATGACGGTCCTAATTACACTGTATTCGACTTCTGAGTGTTTTTCAGGTAATCTCCTTCGATTTAAAACTCTCTTTAATCCAGTGATAATATTCGATGAGAAACGCAAAACGATAAAGGTTTCTTGAAATTAGAGAATAGAATCTTTTTGCATTTTTACAAATTTTACACATCATTTTATAATTACACACACACACACTTTATTTACACATATACACATATACACATTATTTATGCATGCATGCATAAATAAAGATATATTTGTAGAACGAGTTTGGCTACTACAAATTACTCTACTGTGCGTGATTAAAATTTAATTTCAGAAACGTCATAAATCGCAGGAAACACGATTTTGCAATTAACAATTGCAGTTTCTTCGTAAATTGCTTCTTTAATATAATTCATAATCCTCGTTAGTATATTAATTAGAAATAAATCTCTCTTATTCTAATAATAAGATTTATAATGAAAAATTATATATTTTTATATGTTGAATTGTTGAACATTATTAGTCATATATATTCATTTGATAATATAATTCAATAAATCAGCACGTATTCTATTAACTATTACTAATAATAGTTCCTTATAATTTCATGCACTTAATTAATATGAAATGAATGAACTCAAATACAGCCGGATTAATTATCGTACTTTATTATTGATAAATAATACGTATAAAATATTCTGTTTTAAATTTATATATGTACAAGATATTTCTAACGTGATTGACCTGTCTTATCTCTTTGAAGTCGAAAAAAAAATATGTTCAAACAAAAATCTTATCATTTGACGGGGCACAAATAATAGTAAAATCAATTTTTGAAAAAAAAAAAAAAAAAATGATTTTTCATGATCAGATGAAGATCATGGCTATTTTTGTAAATAAAATTGTATGATTTTTTTATAATATAATTCCTTTAATTATTGATTAAAATTATTGAAATAAATATGTTAACTAAATCAATAATTTATTAGTTATTATTATATTTTAGTTTACTAGTTTATTACATATTTTATTCTGGCACATATTGACTTGAAATATAAAATATCTCTCGTAATTTTTTTTATAAACGTACAAAAAATTAATAGATTTTATATTAAAATGCCAAATTAAAATACTTATAAAATATCTTGTAAATTATTAACTTTTTTAAAATCTTTAACTTAATACTTTCATATGCTGCAGAATAATTAGAAAAATCATATTATATAAAAAAATCACTTGATTCAGTAAAAAAATAGCTTTCATATGATCATAAAAAATTGATTTTCTATCATTTATGCTTCGTTCATGCAACTCTTTTGTCTGAATATATTTTTTTTTTATCTTGCAAAGATAAAAGGGATAGTTAGGCTGGAGCATCTTGTATATCATATGTACACAAAAAATATCAATAGTGATTCATTTTTTGCTGGTAACTCTCTCTCTCTCTCTCTCTC